CCCTTGGCTACTTTAGACTCGTTTACGGAAATAGTGTCGGATTAACACGACACACAAGTGGCGACACAAGATCCTAGCCAGGACAATAGACAGAAAGAATAAATAAATCAAAGAAGTGAGCGACAAACTAATGTACCTCCAGGACATATAGATAGCCTGCAGTCATCGGGACTAGACTGTATATTGTCTTTAGGAGGTTGACAGTTCAGTCCACCCAAACTTGGGGTCGGGCTGTCACATAGCCTTTAGGAGGGAGAGACATAAACATAGTGAATCATTACTCGTGTATAATGTTGAATTTGCAAATAGTGAAACCTTCTAACTAATCAACACATCAGAAATCGAGACTTCAATGCTGAATGTTTCAGTTTACATGGCTTAATTGTTTTGTTTTTGTTGTTGTTTCCTAAATCATTTTTTTATTTTCCCATGTTTTAAAGGTTCATTTTCTTTTACTTTTTTTTTTAAAGTGGTTTATATATTTATTTATCTCAATGCCACCACCTCAAAGCTAAAGCGTGCCAAGAGATGGTGACGAGTGCTTAACGATGAGTTGTGAGAACACTACGGCGGCTGCTGGTGCTGGACTGATAGGATGTGCTACGGCGGCTGCTGGTGCTGGACTGATAGGATGTGCTACGGCGGCTGCTGGTATTGGACCGACAGGATGTGCTACGGCGGCTGCTGTTGCTGGACTGATAGGATGTGCTACTGCGGCTGCTGGTGCTGGACTGACAGGATGTGCTACGGTGGCTGCTGGTGCTGAACTGACAGGATGTGCTACAGTACGGTACAGATGTTGAGGACGTCTCTTAACCTACACAAGCATTAGGGTCTGTTCTGCCTCATGGTGGCACCCGGGTGGAAACGACCATTAGAGGAAGTGGTTAGGCTAAATGAATGGCGAAACAAAACTCCCGTGGGGGTGTCCTCGGGTAGGCGAAAGCTTACCCATTGCACGGAGCGGAGTTGAAAGAGAGCCCTCATGACCCTGTCGATAATCCCTGCGCCGTTCCTCAAGGGACCGTTTACACTAATGGCGAGTCCTCCACGGTTAGCTTGGTACAACATAGGAAAATGGCGGAGGTTCCCGGTGCACTCGGCCTTCGGCCATGTCTAGCCCATGCGCTCGGGAGCCAGATGCATCGGAAATAGCAATGCTTTACATAGGCATTGACTTGGGTCTCTTCCAGACAGAACGGTGTGTTCACACAGGTTTTTTTTTTTTTTTTTTTTACTGTTTGACGCTCAAATTTTCAAACTTAGAGCTCGAAGAGCCTTCGGCTCAGCTCTTAGACGATTAAACGGGTCGTCTACAATCTTCAGTTTCAATCTTAGTAACACGCAGGCAGGAGTGTTGGACATCTGTATTGACTTCAGTTACAAGTTAATAAACGTTAAGGCAAGATCTCAAAACAAAATTGGCAGTTAAATACATTCTACAAGAAGCTGGTCTACCAAGTGTGTCGTCTTGTCCTTGTACACATTAAGAAATGTCTGTAGTACACGTTAAAATAGTTGCGGTCTTCAATACGAATGTGAAGCTTTTCTCTAGCTTTAGTTATATACTATGTTCAACTATTCACTTATCTTCTTGAAATGTCTCTGGTTTAATGTTTTGCTTGAGCTGCTTGCGGCCTGTTTGTGTATGTGTGACGCTCAGGTCACTTCGGTCAAGGCAAGACCATGTTGTCCTTTCTATAGCTCTGGTTTACGTTACACCAGGGGTGGGCAAATTACGGCCACATGCGGCCCGCCGAAGTGTTTTATGCGGCCCGCGGACACATAAAGAAATCAGGTGTTCCCACACATTACATATAAATTCAAATATATTAAAAATAAATTATTATTTATTTATGCGGCCCCCCAGTCACCATTTTTTTTATGCGGCCCTCGGCAGAAAAAGGTTGCCCACCACTGCGTTACACCGTTGTCAATATAGAGTAAATTGCCGATTGCGACCCATCTCTGATGGGGAAAAGTAAAGGTTGTCGGTCGTTGTGCTGGCCACATCACACCCTCGTTATCCGTGAGCTAACTGAAACAGATTGCCTTTAGGCCTATGGTAACGCTAACAAGAAAGTCGTTCAGGTAAATGTAGTTATCCAGTCTCCGCACTGTGTCAGACAGGCTGAGAAATTCAGGGGGAGATTAGATGCAAGTCTGAAACCAAACCTGGTCCTTACCTTGTCCTGATTATTTTCCCAAAACCACAAGGCTTGCTACAGGTCCAGACTGACCACTGACCCCATTGTCCATTCACTAAACACATACAATATTTTATATTATAACATTGCAAAACCTAATACTAGACGCTAAATAAATAAAATTTTCTAAAACAATAAAAAAAAAATTATAAATACTTTTTAAAAAAAAAAAAAACTTATATTGTATGTAATTGGCACTAGGAAAGAAGGAGCACTTGTTAAAATAAAATATCTACTTCTTAAAATCCAACCTATGTAACTAGTAGTAGTAACAGCCATAAAGAGCTCTAGCTATGAATTAAAGTTTTAAATTAATCTAGATCTAGATAGATTCCAAATATGGGTTTTCTGACTTCCTGTTTTCGCCAAGTTAAAGCAGTGCACTCAAGTGCTGGACCTGATGGATATTTGATGTGGTGTGCATGTGAATAATTGTTGACTTGAATCGCACCACGAATGTTGGTCGCACTAAAAGTTCCCACCTTGCGCTCTACAGGGCAGATGATGTAAAGATCATCTGGTCGCTCTAGGTGTGTGTGTTTGTGATAGGATAAAATACTCAAAATGACACCAAGATAAAGGCACATTGCTTGTTCCATATGCTAGGACTAATGTGTACTTAAATATTGTCTTAGTTGATTCAATGTGTGGATGACTGTTTGATCGATGTCATGGGTTATTATTTGAGTGTTGTCAGGGATGACTATTTGAGTGTTTTGTTACTCTTAATAACTGACAATTTTCTGTGTGGAAAGACATGCTCCAATTTGATTCCTATTTCTGTAATTCATCTAATTCTCTTTGTAAAATTTCTGTATCTTTTGTTATTTTTATTGTTCTATATATTATGTAATCGTCTGCAAATAATCTGACTTTTGTTACTGTAAGCCTACTAATGCAATTTGGTAAATCATTTATGCAAATTAAAAATAGTAGTGGACCTAAGACTGTTCCTTAAGGTACACCTGAGTTTACTGTTATTGGTGTTGATTTAGAGCCATTTATTATTACAGTTTGTTCTCTCCCTATCAGAAAATCTTTAATCCACTGATGCAATGGACCAACAATGCCAAAATATTTTAATTTTTTAAGCAAACTATGGTGGTGAACTTTGTCAAAAGCCTTGGAAAAATCTAGTAAGATTTGCTCACTATCATCTAAACCTTTTGAAAAATCATCAATTAGTCCTATTAGTTGTGTTTCATATGATCTACATTTCCTAAAGCCATGTTGGTATGGTGTGAGGACATTATGTTTGTCTAAGTGGTTTATGATGTTGCTACATATAATGTGTTCTAGGATTTTACATGTGATGCTGGTCTGTAGTTTTCTTGGGTCAGATTTTTCTCCTTTTTTTAAATAAGGGGGTGACATTAGCTTCTTTCGTCCCTTGGTACTCTACCCTGGTTAAGAGAAGCCTGAAAAAGTATTTTGAACACTGGTGCTAGCTCATTGCTTAGTTCTTTGAGTAATCTAGCTGAAATATCATCAGGTCCAGACGCTTTATTTGGTTTGATGTTGACTAAAAGTTTTTGGATTCTCTTTTCTTGTACTTCTGTTGGTTAAGAAGAGATCTTGTGTGTTTTTTTATGATTTGATCTAAACTTAGATTGTGTAAAGTTCCTATGAAAAGCTCATTTATGTCCTTAAGGTTTTGGTGTTTATTGTTTTCTAATTTATATCAGGTAGGTTGAAATCACCTATAATCCAAAAATAACTGCATTTTTTTTTTCTTACTTACTATGTATAGACTCTGTTTTGTATATTGTAATTCGTAGCCTGGAAGGATGTCAGATTGAAGTTGAAGAATACTACTTTGTAACTTTGATACTACTGTTTTATTTGATACAATACTTTCATTTTATTATTTATTTTCATGTAAGTAAACACTTTAATGTTATGCTCATAAAAACACCCCCAGGAGTCAGTTATGATTGTATTTCTTTTTTTTTTTTTAATGGGCATCTCTCTTGGTATCCTGCTAAGAACAGCTGCTGATGGGGAAAAGGAAAGGGATTCAGTTACACGAACTGTCACAGCAACTTTACGAAGATAGTCAAAGGGCAGATGAGAGAACAGAGTGGTGGTGAGATAGTGAAAAACAATTAAATTATTAAATCCAACATGTATGTATTTTATTAATGAACTCTATCAAGCAATGTAAGAGGCTTGATTCTGATACCCTTTAGTGGCCTTCACCGTTACTGCCAAAAGCTAACATCACCAAGGCAATCAAAAATTGCTCTTGACTGGGATACACATAGACTCAATGTATTCCTGGAGACAGGGAGTCAACTTCTAGCGTTATGGGATCTAATCAGTAGGCCTACGAACACCTCAAACAATAAGAGCTTGGGCCTTAAACAAACTACAAACACAAACTTGGGAATACGAGTATATATTGTAGACGCTTGAAAATACAGTTTGGGTCTTAGGCCTACAAACACAGAAGATAGGTGCAAGGTAATCGGTCAGAAGACAAGGGCCATCACTCTCAAACTTATGATCGTGCAGAAAATAAGGGTCATCACTCTCACACATTTAGACTGTCAGATGTTAGTTACGTTCAAATAAACAAACCAAAAAAAAAAAAAAAATGAACACAAAATTGTTTGGTTTCTTTGAAGGTAAAGTTAATATGCATTCAAATTTAAACAATACATTTCCTTCAAGATGAAGAAAAAAAAAAGGACATTAATTAGTTGATACAAGTTATAACTTAATACAACAAACAATTGAAATGACTTGTTAAATGAATCAAAATAAATAGCAACAAGTCGTCAGGTATGCAAAGCAAAATACTTTTTTCAATTTGTTTCCAATAAGATAATTGTATGAATCATTTTTGCATAATAAAAGAAAATTCGTTAATTTGAAGTGATTTATTGATTTAATGCAGCGTTTCTCAATCTGTGAGGTGCAACCCTAACCCACATTAAACATGCATGCTCTACTGCCTTGAATGACTCATAAAAATTTCAGTATGGACCTGCTCCTTCTTACTTTATCTGAGCTGTGCAGTTTTCAAAAGGAGAACTACTGCATTGTAGACTTCAGGAGAATGCATTAAATTTCTATAGCTCACAATGCTGGAAAACAATATAGGCTCCACCCTCCTGGCTGGCCGAAAGGTGAATGCTATTTTTTTTTTGTTTACATGGGCACCACTAGTAAAAGTTTGAGAAACACTGATATAATGGGATACCCTGGATGACAATGAAGAAACGCCTACAGCTCATTACTAAAGCAAAATACAATTAATAACATAACAGACAGGATATGAGTTCATAAGACGAAGTATTGTGATTGCAAAATATCAAACCCAAGTTACCAACATTTAACTCGGGTAATGACATCACATAGCAATCAGTTTTTAGACATTGTAACAAGGGGAATAGCCTCCCATTGACCAGGTAGTCAAACAATAAGCTGTAGCCTTAAGTGTAATGGGTCAATATCACATCACGTTCGAAACAAGAGGTATATAATTTAAACAGAGTTAAGGTCATATCACTGGTCCAATGTAATCATGGGAATGATAATAAAAAAAGAAGAAGACTATATGAACTACAGTTTTGCCAAATAAAAAGTCTTTCAAAAACTTTATTATATGAATACCTCCTCCATCAACAGCTTTTTTCATATCTTTGGCTTGAATCTCTTGAAATGACTTGAAATTTCCTTTTTTTTTTTTTTTATTTAAAAGGGATTTTAAAGTTGGCAATTCATTCCCAAGACTCACAGAGATGGCGGTCATGGTGGCTGAGTGGTAAAACTGAGGGGGTCTATATTTTGATGGGTACCTGACATTAGTTAGAAAAAGTGAAAGCAGTTGGTCATTAAGCTGGCCAGATAAAATAGGCCATAGAAACAGGGGACATTTACATCATCTGTCCTATAAATCGCAAAGTCAAAAGGAGTACTTGACCTTTACTTAATAGTAGCAGTTATTAAATGCATTCAAATACTCCTCAAAAGGGACTTAGCTCTTCTCATTTTAATAAGCAGAACATTTTTTTTTTAAATCAAACATTATAAAAACTATAAAAAAAAACACCCAAGTCAACCATATAACCAGCCAAATCAGAGAGATTAAAATCTTTATCATTAGAGCATCAAGCTAACACTTTCTTTGAAAAATACAGATTCAAATAAATTATGGACTAGATGAACATGAAACTGACTGATATATATATATATTTATATATATATTTTTGCTTTTACATTTGATAACGTTGCTACTGTAAGATATAACAAAACAAAAAAAATAAAACAATAGAATGGTTCATGGCCATACAGATCTGGTTTAGGACTAAGCAACTATTTTATAAGACATCTACTCGTATTTATTGGTGAAGTTAACAATTATATCAAAATAGCTCAGCCTTCTCTTCATGAGATGGTGTAATATCATTTACTAAATATGAGTTGGTTTTAAATCAGACTATCCATGATTTTATACAAAGGACTACAGAAATACAGTTCAATCTTCATTTGAATAAATATTGTTGTCCATGACTGATAAGATTTTGATGACAGCCATATTTTGATCTATAGATTCACAATAATGTTAACAATACTCTAGTCTCAATGAACACAACAGTTTACATATTTCAATCAAGCAAACATATGCGGATAATTATCTTAAATCTCTTATTAAAATATGATTACCAAAACTTCTATACGAGAAATGATCAATGTTTTAAAAAAATTACTTTTTCAAGAATACATCAAATAAAAACATAATATCAGTTGAGAGCTTTCAAAAGATACATTTAAAAGCTGTGAATTAAACAATTCTAAACAAAGCAACATATCAGTGACATAGAGCGCATAAATAAGAACCACATATTGTCATGATGGATCCTAACTCATCTCAAGGCAAAAATACACAATTTTAAAATACAGACAGGCCTTTTGAGACAAATTTAAACTATTGTGAAATAAAACAAAAAAATATGCTTAAGATTCTCATCTGGTCAAACAAGCTCCACATACAGGATCAATGCAGAGTCTGGGAGACATGTCCTCATATAGAAATAATGCCAAAAGTCTTAACTACAGATGCAGGGTACCTGCAGCCAGGGTATGTGGTCATCAAAAACAGGCCCCCCCCCTCTCTACATTTTTTTTTAAAAAAGCATCTTTTACATATGCATTTGAGGGATTTTGGCATGTGGTAGGAAGGCGGTGTGTGGGGGGGCACACGACCCCCAGCTGTCTGGGGTCTGAATTGAATGGCCCGCCTGGTATAACAATCAGGGGGCCACCTACACTGTTTATCAAAGAGGCTCAAAACTTTCCTGACTCATACATCCTACACAAATAATCTCAAGCTCAGGATAGAAGAAATAAAGTCTTTAGAATCTGATTCTGCACCTTAACAATACAGTGATCATGTGCAAGTCAAGGCTCCATGAGACTGGAGGGACCAAATGAGCAAATAAATGAGAAATTTAAAAAAACATGTCCAGATATGATTAACATTCACAGAATGTCCAATATGCCAGTACACAAGTTTTCCCATTTTAGCCTTTACTAAGATCTTTAAGGTTTAAAATGTCTGATGGTAGATATAGCAAAGAGAAATAAGACGAATGTGCAGAATAAATTAAAGATAGGCTATTCTTCCTAGTAATATTAAGAAGTTTGTTACATCAAGGTCTGGCAACACTGTTTGCCATTCATACACAAATTGACACAAGTAAGTAGTGAAGGGTTAGTATTATGCCAGTAACAAGTGGCAAATGAGGTTCAGACATAATGGTGGTGTCAGAAATGGGCAAATGATCACATTAAAAATTAACATTCTGTCGTCATCGAGAAGTACATAGAACTCTATTTATAAAGCGCTGGTTATGAGTGCGTATGTGTTCTTAGTGTGTGAATGTCGTTTGTATGTGCATCTATATTGTTATTGTACAGTAGTTACGCTGAGGTTGTCAATTGTTATAATAAAAATAAAAGTTATCTTATCTTAAGCATGCTTTACATCAACTTGCTATTTCATAAAGCCTGAAAAGACTTTAAAAAATTTTGCCAGTGTTTTTTTTTTCTGTGAGAATAAATTGTTCTCAAATACAAATCTATTAACCTAGTCCTTTTTGTCTGGGTTTTTTTTTTTGTGGGAATAAAATGTTCTCAAATACAAATCTAAAAACCAAGTCTAACGACTAGGCCAATAAGACACAAGCAAACTTGTCCAGCAAGCAGATGCTGCACAAGGATAAGATTTGTAAGGAACAATATGAGCCAGCTCACTGTGACTGTTCATGCAACTCAGAATATTTTTTTTTGATATTCAACAAGAAATAAGACTTAAAAATATGCTAGGCAGAGAGTCCTGGGAAGAGCTAGCTTCTAATGTATGAGATTTGATCATAGCTCAATAGGTTGAAATAAAATAATCATATGGGCGCGACACTTTTAACACACTGTAATGAAAATTTGCCTTAAAATATATTTTTAAAAAAATGGCACAGTGTACTTTATACTTTAAGTCATAAACTCTTTTAGTAATTCATGGACTAGTTTTTAGAATTTTTTAGTGTTATAAATGCATTCAGATGAATTTTGGAAATTGCACGTTTAATATTATATTTAAATAACCTATTTTTTAATATATATATATATTATTTTTTTTTCTAATTCCCTTAAAAAATTAGAAAAAAAAAAAGGTTATTACAACCTATTCCAAACCTGCAGGATAGGAGAAATAAGAGGACAAGCAGGACTCAAATTAAGAACCACTCTGACCAAAGTCTTAAGCTTAGACAGAAAGACTAGTCAGACGCTGTAATGCAAAGTGCTGCCAGTCATAGAATTTGTCTGAAATTAATGTCCACCTTTGTTTTAGGAAGCCAAAGGGAGCATGACAAATGTACACAAACAAAGAAAACACTTAAACAACATGTGCCTGATGGAGAAAAGGATTACTGCTTAAACTTCGTGCGCTAGTAACAACTCTTAGGTGGCTTTTATCTTATATTGTCAATACAATACTGGGAAAAAAAAAAAAAAAAGGTTATCCACAGAAATCAAAACATTCGACTAGATTTTACATAATTTTTAAAGAAATAAATTTTGTACTTTCAGTTTCTAAAATAGTTTTTAAAAAATTCATACTTTAAAAACTAAGTTTTGAACATTAGAAGAAATGTGTACGATTTTTTTAAATTTTTCTTTACAGTAACCTTGGCATTTTTTCAGTGACAATGTCAACAATTTCATTCAGTCAGCAATGTAAAAATTTGGCATTTGATTTATTTACACATATATGTATATATTTATGAATGTCCAACAGGAGACAGAAGACTTACGGCATAACAAAATTATGTAACACAAATATGGAAGATCTTTGGCAAACAGTTTTTGTAGTCTGGGTGCGACATTTGGTTTGCCTCAGCCAATAGCGGCACAACAATACCCATCAGGTACACATTTGTAGAGAACAATAATGTAAAAGAAGTGATATCAACGTACATGTTTAAAGATGTATCATATCAACATGCAGTGAGTGTTGATATCAGCATTCGATGGGTATCAATATCAACATTCAATGAGTGCCCATATCAAAATACAGCGAGTGAAGATATCAACATACAGTGAGCGACAATGCCAGCTTACAGTGAATTGTGATATCAAGGAACTGCGCATGATCTTCGGGGAAAAAAACAACAAACCAGTCATTCAATTAAATACAGCTGCAACCAAACACTAACCATTCGAACATCATGACTTTTCAATTATACACTAAGCTCAACAGGTTATCATATATATTATCAATGCATTTTTTTTTATCACAAATTATTTAAGAATCAAACAGCATAATGAAAACATAGACATAAAATAATGTCTGGAACAAAAAATGACATTCTTAAAAGAAAAAAAAAATGTGTCTTTCACACTTGGTTAAAATAGCTTCATGCACACACACACTGGACAAGACACAGAAGCTAGACAAACCGTTTTCAAATCTCATTTTTCCCAATTAAAGCAAATCTTTGAACAGTTAGAGAAATAGAACTGATACAATAGAAATCATTTAAAAAAAAAAAACAAAAAAAAAAAACAATAAATGCATTGGTATACTTACATACCGTCACAACCAGACCACTGAGGCCCGCTATACACACATCACTTTAGCCAATGACAAACAAATACAGTGATACTATAAATGAACTCTGTTAATAGGGTCAGCTCCAGGTCGTGTCGTAGCCTGTCCAACCTGGCGGAGGTGCTAAAAAGACTCTTCTCTCATTGAGCATGAAGCTGACGACACCTCTGTAGGCTGCCCGAGGTACACCAGCCTGGGGGAAAAAAAAAAAAAAAGGTTTATAAGTAAAAGCATTTTTTTTTTTAATTCACATTTAAAACAAATCTAATTGTATTTTCAAGTGTCAAAGTAAAAAAAATATCTGTGCAAAGTGTAGTTCTTAAAATTAGATCTAGATCGTTTCGATCTTCTCTCACGTAAACATGGCCTAGATCCATGAAATAGCAATACTTTCATAGAGTTGGGCAACTTTTTTTTTTTTTGAGGGTCTTAAGTTTGTTTTAGGGCCACTATACATACGTCACAGTTCCAGTTAGTAATCAAGGAACATTTATGCAAAGATTGGCCAAACGGTTTTGATTTCTATTGGGAACACACATACATATGCCTTACTTTCTGCATTATATTATAGATAAACTGTTCTTACCTTAAAGTCATCCATGATACCCAACAGTTTGGCCAACTTTTTAAAACTATCTTTGCCGTTATATTCCACTCTGACAACTTTGTCCTGAGGCTGCTCTCCGCTCTTGACTTGTTGGCCAGTTAGAAGAGGAGAACTATACACTTTCTTAATAAACATCTCATCATATTTGGCCTGTCAATGGAACATTAGACAATGTTTATTAGACAAAGACAACAGACCATTGCTACTAATCTAATGTGAATGGACCAGCCTCTCTTAATATTATGCTAAGAACAAGTTGGCAACTTAATTTTACTTACTATGATTTATAGTTAAATCATACACAGAGGCATTTAATTTTAGTATAGTATAGTAAATCAGCTACCAATACTATCCACATAGATCCTACTGTACTGAAGATAAACTAGCATTCATTTGAGTATGCTTGTAGAACTACATAATAAATAAATGCTGCTATACATTAAGATAACATCAGAACATTTAATTTTAGTACACTTATATAATAGTAGTTTTTCTACATGTGAAGAACTGGATAAAGTGACAGTGGCTTACTTTTGCAAGGTAAGAAAGATCCATTTTGGTAAAGGGAACAAACTCCGAGTTGAGCTTTATAAACTTAAGATGTTTGTCAAAGTACAGTCCCCTGAAACAGATGAAATAAATATGAAATTCCCATGTAAATCTGACAGCTAGAGAAAAAGAGTTCATCAATGTTTATAATTAAAATTTAATAAGGCTGTCTTGTGGCCAGCACAGTTTCTTCCATCAAGTTCATATCACTAAAGACTTGACTAGTCTCATCAGCATTCTGAAATCTATAAACTAACTTAAAGTGCAATTACTCTTAGTAAGCAAGTAGCATATACAGTTAGTATTTAAATCTCATACAATATACAGCTTTTAATCTAATCCATTTGTTAGTATCTATTAGTATTAGATCTTAAGTTTGATTATTTTTTAAATTATTTATTTTTTAGGATTTTTAAAATTCAGGGTTATCCCTCTTTGCTTAGGGCCAGGAAAGGTTTTTTCCCGTACAGGAAATAGGAGCTATAGGGTTAAGTATCTTCCTAGAGTAGATCAAAATCTTACTTGCTAACACCCTTCTTGCCAAAAGTACTAGTTCGACATATCTCTGGACGTATACATTCTCTCCCTTTCCTTTGTTCAGGATGCCGCATCCAATCATCCCAGAATCTAAAATAATAATGAATAGTGAAAAAAAAAATTTTGTTTGTATTTACCAGACCAATGATGGCTAAGCTATCATGCTAACTAAACACCTACAAACATAAGATTCAATGCTAACTAAACACCTACAAACATAAGATTCAATGCTAACTAAACACCTACAAACATAAGATTCAATGCTAACTAAACACCTACAAACATAAGATTCAATGCTAAATTAACACCTACAAACACAAAATTCAATGCTAAACTAAACACCCTACAAACTTAAAGAGTGAAGGCTTACGTTTCAGGCCACTTGGTACTCAGCTCCATCCAAATTTTCTTTTCTATCATCCAACCCAGGCCTGGGAAAAAGTCTGTTCGATACAAAAGATCTGAAAGAGAAAAAAAATGGTAAAACAATTTAGAAAACACTGAACAAAAAAAAAGCCTATCAGTAAAACTATTTAAAAAGTTGTTTTAGTTTAC